CGCATTCCATGTGTCATATTTACATACATACATATGTATGTATGTATGTATACGCAAGATTTGTAAATGCAGGAATCCATCCACGGTAACTTTACAAAATTGTTAACTTTTAAACTATTTATTCCGATAACGATTTACTCCGATAAAAGTTTAGTCCTACCTTCAATTATGTGATATACGGCGCTTGTCCCACGCCAATGACTAACCCGTCGCGTAACATTTGTTTTAAATTTTTACCTAATACGCCCAAAACCTTGATGTCGAATATAAGAATTTGTATGCTAAAAATTAATCATATGAGGTATTCTTTTTCATCGGACACCAAAAGCCCTTCTGCACCAGAAACTACATAATTTCATCATTAGTTTTATACCCTTACTTTTTCTCTAAGCACATTTCTCTGAATTTTTTAAATAATTTTTGAATTACTGACGTCAGAGTGAAAAACTAAAAACGCAATTTTACTATATTTGGCCCATGATTTCGCGAATATATTGAGATTTGTGTTTAAAATTTACTATCGCACGGTGTTATATGGGCATTTCCCAAAAAAGGTAAACCGAAGATGCAAGTAAATGAATTTAAACGGCTTTATAACTTTACATTTCGCATTCAGATGGCGAAAAGAGGTTTTGAAAACGGGAAACTGTGGAGAGAAGAACTGAAAAAATTAAATAAAAAATTAAATTTAGTATATGTTACTAGTAAAAATATTGTATGGGGGGGAAATCTGTCGCGTCCGATATGTCGCGTCCGTTACCAGATTTTAATTCAAAATTAAATCAACAACAAATTGCTTCTGATTAAAAATGAATTGGTTGTAACGGTCCATAATTAGACCTGAGTTTTGCTTAGTTTTAACATGTACTCTGAAATCACTTCTTTTTTTGTCGCATCCATTATGCCCTACTTTTCATCGATTTTCTCGACTTCAGTGTTCCAAGCGCACCTAGTTTTTTGTCAACCAACGGACGGTATAAAAGCTACACAACAACAAATTTGTTTACAAGTGACTTGAGTTTTCGTATGATTTATTTAACTCTAAAGTCGTACGAATGTCGCGTCCGTACTACAGCAAATACCCATATGTATAATGTGCTACACATTTATAAAAAAATATTAATTATTAAATAAAGAAATATAGCAAATACTGGTCAAGAAAAGGAGTTTATATTATTGCTATCAGTGCAAATTACGAATCCCCAAAAAGTCCGGGATTCTAATACCTACATACATAACAACATGCTCATTTACTTCAATAGTGTCATAACTCAAAAAAGTAACACTCAAAAAGAACGGCTTTAAAGTTTTGAATTTACATACGGGGTATTCTTTCTGAACGTTACCTCCACGCTTCCCATTTTTCTCTTAAATTAAATTTGCTTTTTAAATATGTAAAATTCATAACAAAATACAACCTTTCCGATGCCGAGTGGCAAAATAACGTGAGGGTCAATTTCAAGGTCATCTCGAGGTCAACATGGTTTTTTAAATTGGTAACCCCCTTTTTTTATCTCGAATTCAGAAAGAACAGAAAATTCTACGTTCAGATAACATATCAACTACGATTAATAAATCTGATGAAAAAAACATATTGAATAGGAAGATTAACGCTTTATATGACTCTGACGGTGAAATTAACCCCACATACGTTTACGTTTAGACAGAATACCGGATACATTAAAAATAAAGTAGGTTTAAAAAGCTTTATAAATTTACGCTTTCAAATATTTTTCAATTTATAATAATTTTTTACAGCAACTTACATAATTTTTTGTAAATAATGCCGATATATGTACATAATCCTATAGTAAAAATGAAAATCATGTTTTTCATGGCACGCTCGGCTTGTCATTGCCTGCCGAGGGGCGACCGCTATTAAGAATAAAGCTTTTTTCTATATTTTATTTCTGCGATGTTGCTTTGACCAGGGCTTGGACCCAGGCCCTGCGGAGTGGAAGTGCACGCTGCTAACCACTACACCACAGCGGCCGCATACATATGTACATACGTACGTACGCATAGTATGTAGTATATACTATAAATGTAGAACATATGTGCATACATTATTAATACTGTGTAGTAGCGTTTAAGTAACAAATTTGTATGCTTCTTTGTTGTAGCTACCAGCCAGCAACAGGCAGCCAATCACTTAAGTGCTGAACACATTGAAAACGACGAGCAACGGGCCACAGCTTCCAATTTGTTATCTTCATTATCTAAACGCTTTGTCGATGGCGACATGAATTTTTTGTATGTATGAGTTTAACATAAAAGAAGAGTAAAAATCGTATCTGTCGCTGGAAAAATAGAAATAGACCTAATCAGGCCACAACCACAGTCGCCGTGTAGCCCTGTCGTCGCCAAAATAATTATCTACATAAGAATGCGTTAAAAAAATAATTTGACAGCTATGGTCCGTAGCTCGTCGTTTTCGTTGTGTTCGCGCTTTGAGTCAGGCAGTTACTTTGTCCGTTGCACAATTTTCGCTGTAGTTAAGAAACGAAATTCCACCACAGTTAATTGACTAATTCTGCAACTCACCCCACCCGCACCCCCGCCTCATTCGAACCCGCGCAAAGGGTACAATCGCTCGTAGCTGCCTCCCTCGTAATAGCACTCTTCAATTAATCAAAATTAGCTATGTCAATAAAGTTGTTCGCGTCTACGCTACGGTCATTCAAAGCGCTATTACCCCTGGACATTTGACGCGTAATTTAAAAATAGCAACGCCGCTGCTTTTGGTTTTGTCAATTGCGAGCTAGTCGACAATAAACGCTATTGTTTTTTTTTTTATTATTATTTTACTCCAGACTGCGCAATTTATGGCTTGTGGCCAAGAGATCGAGGGACCGCGTTACTGCTGGAGTTGCGGCTGGCTCAACCCCATACCAAACCAATCAATTTTAGCCCATTTTGCCATATTTGTGCTGCCCATTAGAATTAACACGGAAAACTATAAAACTCATTAGATTTATTGCTCTTCAATGCTGGATTTTTAGGTGGCTATCAGCCGCTTGTGTGGCCGTCCAACTGACTGATTGACTTACTGGCTGAACTGTTTGGAAAACGACTCATTGGCTCGCATCAGGAATAGTAAGTTTTGGAGGCGTTACAGCTATGGAAATGGGTGCAGCTCCAATGCAGTGATTTGTCACAGATAATTGCAGTATTAAAATGTGAAATCGACTCAATTGTATTGTTAATTTCATGCATTGTTCAGCGAAAATGGCCAGATACCACTCGATGACTCACGCTAAGACTACGTAAGGAAATAAAATATAAATCATTAGAGTTTAAATACATACAACACGTCTGTGCATCCATTATCTACGATATTATATATACATAAATCAGCCCGGTCGCAAGGGGGCGGGGGGTTTTGGGGTTTAAACCGCCCCTGTTGGAGGGAAATATGCATACAAATTTGCCATCATTGAGTTTAAGATAATAATGGTAAAAATAAAATATTTTTCACAGAGTTCATTTCTGCTGGAATCACTATTAAAAATGACCGCCGCTTTTTTTTAAAAAGGTGGTACCCATTAGCCGCTGCACCGAGAATACTCCTCGTTCCCCTAATTGCAATGTTATCACCATTAGGCTATTTTAATAAAAAAAAAAACTTTGCGGATATTTTAAAATTGGTTTTTGTTATTTATGGCTTTTTAACAATTATATTCACAATTTTTTATTGAGCTTGAGGCCGTTTCTAACGGTTCATATCCCAGTGACCGCGGTGAAGAAGTCCGATGAGAAGATATGGTGATAGTAGCTTAGGGCTGCCAGACGTCCTGGTTTTCCAGAATTTGTCCTGATTTAGAAAAAATTGTAGGTGTTCTGACTAATAATAATTTAAAACTTGTCAAAATTTGCTGCGGCTTTAATTTTTTCGACTACTGTACATTAGTTGATTATGATTACTCGGCCGTGCTATCATAGTAGTCGCTAAGTGCATTTTAAAATTTTCAGGTAATAGCCTCATGCGATTATCGCGAATCATTGATTTAAGATTACTTTTATTTTTTGTTGTTTGTTTGTGAAATTTTTTTATCAGTATTTTTCTTTTAATCAAACTATAAAATATTTTGCCATAAGAAATTATACTAGCGAGTATTGTGGCTTATTTGTATAGTGTCAGGTATTGGGGCTAATAATTTTATAATATCTTATTATATTCATAATTTTCTGGAATCATGGGAAAGATATCTTTTCGGAGAAGAATTCAATGTACAGTTGGTGTACCACAATAACCAATGTCAATGGCACTTCTTTTTGAAACCTATAATAAACGTTCAAAAATTTGATTCATCTTCTTAATTTTTTCTAAAATTGAATAAAAACAAATAAAAGTATATAATAAATGACTAAGTGGACATCAAGTTAACGTGTTGGGCTGTGTTATCCATTAAAAGTGAGCAAAAATTCAGATTTCCACTTTTTCTACGCAAAATTTTCCTTATGCGGTCCATAATACTCTTTGCTTCCCTATTTAAATCTCTTCAATAATACCAATGTCTTCCTGTAGAGACGAACCATTGGTTTTAAATTTTTGTATCCAAGCAGATATGCAATTGAAGTTACGGGTTAATAAAAACTAAATCTGTTTTTATGCTATTATTTGTAAACATTTATTTAGTTCGACGAATAAAACACAGCCCACGAAATGGTCAAGAAAAATTTATTGAGCCAACTTTTCTTAAGCAGTACGAAGTTCTTAAGAAATGTTCTTCGCTTTCTACCATGATGAAAACATAGTGAGGCAGAACCGTTCTCTCAATTCGTCGGTCATGATTTTTTTTTAACTTTGCCAGCATTGGAAATGAGAATGTATGTGTAAGTCTGTGAGTAAATTTTAAAAGTAAAATGCTTGAAATTGTTAAAAATGCTAAAAGTGTCTCTCAGCGGTTCTACCTTAATATATTTTTATCACTTTCACGAAAAAGTGAGACAGCAAGCTGTAGAATATCAGATTTCAAAACTCCTTGAACACTACTATTCACACACACACGAAATAATAGCAATTTATTTCTTAATCATTTACTTAAGAGATCTATACTTAGCTTTATACATTGAAATAAGCAAAATAAGCATGATCGTTAAAATTAAGCTTGCAAACCCTGAATCAGCAAAATAAGCAATTTCAAGCAAAAGCTTAAACTGTTCGGCCCTGATCATCATGCATGTGCAGGCATGGGCAGAGAACGAGCCTACAATGGGCTAGCTTTTCTCAATACTCATCGCAATCTGGATGTTAATGTTGACTCAGTATTAAACATATTTGTATCTATACCTCCGTGAATTGCATGCGACTTTTCTTTGAGTTGTGCTGGATTATATCCACAATTAAATACAATAGAGGTATTCTCTGAGTCTTGCAAAGCTCTTGCATGGTTCACAGATTGCACGGTTTAAGCCCGCTTTTCGTATGGGACAGTTTTGCAAACCGTGCAATCCATGAAATCTGCACACCATGCAAGGCCTTTGCAACACTCAGAATACCTCTAATATGCTAAATACTCTACATAAAGAAGTGATAGTCTTGGTTGTTACGAATGACTTTACATAAAAAATTTCAGGAAAAATGTGTGAAGTGGGTAGGTTGGCAATGTTTGGAATCCTGTGGGCTATTCTCAAACGAGTTAGCGAAAATTATTGCTATGGCCGAAGTGTGGTATGAATGTCGCAAGTTTGCAATATCGATACGACATTTGTCGCTAACTCAATTCCGAAAAGCTCCACTGGTCTATGTGATGGCAGACGGTCTTTTTTGGCGATGGACGCTAAATGGTGGAAGACTTTCTTGAATTCCTTGATTTTTGTGGCATATATTTCCATCAACGACCGAATCCTGTTATTAATAAACTAAATAGGGGTATTAGGTTGATTAAAAATGCTTCTTTTAGTTTAATAAATAAAAAATAAGTATTTGATAACACTTTTTGTATTAGTCCGGCAGGTTCTGCAATTCACTTCCGAGTGAATTTGAGTCAAGTTCACTTTTAACTCAAATGGACAGGGATTGAAAATCACTCGGAAGTGAATTCCAGAACCTGCTCGCATATCACCAGTGTGACAAATAAAACTTATAAAAAAAAACCTTTTCTCATTTCAGCAGTTTAAAAGAATGACAAGAAATTTTAAGAGCATTGCATAAAAAGCGATCCTGGAACCATTTATAGTTTACCTATATCCAGATGTACCTCCACACGTAACAGGAAAGGAAAAAGAAATTGTAAAAAAACAACGTAAACAAAATGAATGATTGTACCTAAATTGAAGGGATTGTACCTAATGCAAGTTTTACACTTGCTACCGACGTTTTACACCTGGCTTACAAGCATGAATGTGTTCCGCTCTTAAAACAAAAACGCAGCTGCCTCAAATAAGATTTTGTAAGTATGACCACACCATGTATTGAGAGAAAGCTTATTAGCATTAAAAGAAAAAAGTAATTTCATTTTATGAAACATACGCTAAGTTGAATGGAATGTTTAAAGGTATGCCTAAAAACAATATTAATTAGTATTAACCAAACCTAAAATGATCCTTTTGTATTTATAATAAGTACTTTGCTGTACAAGAAAGAAGCCGAAGAAGGTTTTTGAAAAAACACCACAAACAACAACAATGGAAAAGAACACAACACAATGGAAAAGAATGTCCAGCAAAGAAAAAGAAATGTGTATTTTAAAATGTAAAAAGAGCCAAAATGTTCTCAGCAAAGAGAAAGTAAAAAGAGCCGCACTCTGCTAAGAAAAGGGCCGCATTTGGCTCAAAAAGCCGCGTTTTCCTACCGTTGACATAGCATATTTTGTGAAAGGGCTTGCCACTTATTTCAAAAGTTAAAACCAACTAGATAAATTAAAACACTGTGGGTGTCAAACAAAAGAAGTTTAAAACGATTTATTTCAAAAATATTTTTGAAGAGAGTTGCCACCTTTTCATAAACTTAAAATCAATTTAATTACCTATATAAATGAAATGTTTTAGTATGCGTACCAAATGAGGAAGGTTTAAGACATTTTTATTTTCAAATATATTTAAAGAGGGTTTCCACCTGTTAAGAAATTCAAATTCAATTTACTTAAAGGTTTTAATGTTGTAATATGGGTATCAAACGAGGGAGGGTTGAAAAAGCTTTCTTCCGGAAGAAAGGTGGAAATATTGAACCTCACAACACTGATAGAGAATCCGGATTCTTTGCTCAAGACCACCTTGCTATCGGTGAGGGCCGCATGGCAAAGTACATGGCGAGGCGACCACATACATGTCTTTTGATACAGTGATGGCAAATGAGGATGCAACAACATATCCTATAGAGTTTCTAAACTCTTAAGAATTTTCAGTGGTGCTGCAACCTAGACGCACCTCGATTGAGCACTAGCTCAAGACTATGCATAATGGAGCTGAAAAGACATATTCTGCAAGTCACCATCATCACTGGCGGAGCCAAAGGACGATCAGTATTGAGACCACGAACTTCCAACAAACATGCTATTTCAGTTTAAACGTTTGCAGTTTCCGTTAAAAATATCCATCGCGAAAACGATTAACAAAGCCAAGGATAAACACTTAAAATTGCAGGAATACATCTGGGCACTCCATGTTTCTCGCACATGGCTTATCGCGTGTATCGAGAGTCAGAAATCTATATACATGCCCAAGTCTCGAAACGTTGTTTACGAAATGTATTGCAGTAGATGTCATTAATTTGAATTGCTAAATATTTTTTTTAAATAAAAGTCTATCTATCGCTAAATACAACTCCGATGGATTTCAAATTAATTTTAAATAATAAATATATGTATGTGCATTAATATCTTTATTTTCGTCATGCTGAATGAGCTGAGACCTTCTAGTTATTTTGTTTGGTTTTGCCGTTCGTTTTTAGTCAATATAAAATAAAAAAAAAACTTTTTTGTAAGCAGCGGGCTATGTTGAGAGTCTCGGGAAATGATTTTTCCCGCCCTGCCCGCTAGTTTCTAAAGACTTTACCGATACGGGTAGTATCCCGGTCATTTTAAAATTAGTACTATGAGTCCGCTGGTCCCAGTATCCAGTGCCTATATCTAATATGTATATTCCACCTCCTTTTACTCCCTCTCTGCAACCCACTACCCGCCGTTATAGTTAATATTCTGGACGGTACAAAGTGTAAATTACTGTTAACTGTTTGCTTTTCTCAGCGCTACTGTTAACGAAACAAATAAAGAAATATGTACGCTTGAACAAGCAAATAGGAGCAAAAAAAAAGCAGCTACCATATCGTATGATGTTAAAATAACTAAGAGAAAAATCAGAAACAAAAACTAAAATAACCGAAATGAGAAAGTGCCTTTTTGTTGTTTTTACTTAAGTACTATGGTTGTTTTCTGCTGCTACTGTAGATACGCGGCACGAATCGACGAAAAAACGGCCAAAGAAAACATAATGAAACGAAGCTTCAGAATAGAAAAATGCATGCAATGAAGCACAAACAAACAAGCCTACACAGTACATCCCAGCCAGCAAAACTCCGAAAATTCATCCGAAAATGGAAAGAAAAGTGGCTGAAATGCGGTTTTTGTTCATTTATCGATTTTATTTTCGGATACTTTGACAATTCGGTTGACCCAGAAATGTTTTCAGCTGTTTTTCTGAAATTTTTCGTATTCAATTTTTTTTTTTTTAAAACATTTTCATTCTGAGCTTCATGGTTATATGGAGAATTTTTTTTAATTTTTTATTTATAATTTTTTTCGTCTGACAGCATTCGAACCTGGGGCCTCCTGAAAGCTTACCAATGATAGCACGCTCGAACCCTGCACACTCAGCTACTGCGGAATGCATATATATACATGCTTACAAACCTGGCAAGGAATGTGCCACTTATACTATACGATGAGTATTCCCAGATTAATCTCCATGGGGTATGATTGGGCATTAAGTACTCGCCACTAATCCCGTAAGGCAAAATATTTTCGTGGAAACACAATACCGGCGAACGGCGAACTCACCACAGCGAAATTCACGCTGTCAAAATTAAAATACCCGCCGGCATATGAAATTGAACACAGTCAAAGCGAAATGTGAAGTTTGCTCGGCGGCAGTGTTGCCGCGCCCGAAAATAAAGTTTAACAAATCCCGTTAAAATTAAGCAACTTATTTATTGGGTCTTATTAAAACGAAAAATGCCTGGAGTTACTGCATGTTTCTTCCTGAGCTTGATAAATCGGTTATAGAAATAAAAAGTAAGCAAGTCAGTAAGTAAAAGCTCTCTAAGGCTGAGTTTTGTCGTCAAAATTAAGGATGTTATAGTCTAAGGGCCAATTTCAAATGAATATTTAAACGGCATTTAAGTTTAATTGAGGATTGTTGCTTAAATGCCATTTAGCTTTCGTTGGGTTTCAGATCAACTTTGTTTAAATATGCCAAACAATTGGCAGCGCAGCTGCCCATTCCTTGCAATTGTTGTTGCATTTCCATGTTTGTTTACATTTTCTGCTGAACAGCTGATTGTTTTAGGTGGGATTTGGTGGGATTGATTAAACAACCTACCAATCAATCTTGGTTGTTTGGTATAAACACAGGGTTGCATATCTTATATTTAAATAGCAAAATTTGTCATTTGAGTGCGGACTAAATGTGTGATCTGAAGAGGAATGGTGGAAATTAATCAGCAATCTCTATTTAAGCAGGCCATCTGAAATCGGGGCTAACAGATGCTAAATTTGAAAACTATTACACATTCTTTCAGGCTTTCAACACATACTCCTATAATAGTTATCTGCCCTTTCGCTAGTCTTTTGAATGCATGCAAAAAACGAGTTAGGCCTCATGTTATCCAAAATGTGCGTGTTGATCTTGTCACGCAAATGAAGGGACCTAAGGTTCTAGGTCGCTTCCGAATGGCAAAGGGTTTTTACGAGAAGCGATTTCATGGCAGAAGACACTCGGAGGTTTGAAAGCGCCGACGACCACAGATCGGGAATTGCGTAGAGTAACATTTGCTGGAACTTTATGTGGGATCTGGATGACAGTCTTCCTAAAATAAATTTGAAAGATTTATTGAAATATTAACCCTTCTGACTATGAATTTTTGAGTAAAATTATTATTTTTGACTATTTTAATAAAAATATTTAACAAAACGGAGAAAAGTTTAACATTTTAACAGGCAACGCTGCTCGGCGGTGTTTCGTAGCGATGGATTTATTTCAATTGCTCTGCTGGGCGATGGCGGCAGTACATGCCAAAGGTGGCCGTATGTTTTTTTTTTCTTTCGAAGATTTAGAAGGAAACAACATATAACACGAATTATTGGTTGAAAAATACAGAGATCGATTCTTTAAATCTGGGTTAAAATAAAACAATTTATAATAATTCCCCCTTCCTTTACATTTATATTTGTTATCATTTCATCATTTCTAAATATGGTTGACTTTTCAAAATATGGTCACCTAAATTATAAGTGCGACGAAATGGTATCACCTGAAATAGCAGGGCAAACGGTGAACGACGGCATCGCCCAATTCGGCAAACTTCGCCGTTCGCCGGGTATTGTGTTTCAAGCATTAATCTATTCATAGGTCATGCTTGAAAAAAAATCAACGGTTTATTCCCTATAAATCAATCTATAGTGGAATTAGTCGCATACCCATTTGCGATTGGTTCTGGAGATATCCCGGATTAGTCGCATTTTGAACAAATGATTTTCGAAAAATCCGTACATTTCTATTTTTGCGTGCTCCAGCAATCGCATCTTTTTGTTATCGATGACTTCCATTTTCTACCTCGTTTTCAGCGACCGATTTGAAACCGCAAAAATTTTGCTATTTGCGAATATTGGTTTGGAGCACGTTATTTTGGGATTCCAAAAATAGGACCAGGGCTGAATATGATATTTTCCTGACGTTTTTTCGAATACGAATGCATATCAGAAATTGAGAAAATGAGAGCGTTGGAATTTTCTTTCTTACTTCTTCTTTGAGCGAAGAATACCTGGAATTTTACATTTCATTACCAAAACCAAAGGCAAAATACCTGTAACTTTTTGTTTTAATCTACCGCTACCACTTTATGTTAATTGCATAGGAAAGATATACTAAAACCGTAGTGTCGGCAAAACATAGTGTCGTTTCTCTGCTGGCTGGGATATCTACATTCACACGGGCATATCCTCACATACTCATGTATGTAAATAAAAACATACATACATGGCTACATACATCCCTGCATACATACCCAGCTGCCAAAAGTTATAACTAGAAAATGAATAGGTAATGGCAAAGATATACAGATATTAGTTGAGGTGTGCACTGCGACCAGGAGATCTATTGTGCCCTCTTTCTTCTTACAATACCTCGCTGAGTCCTCACTCCCTTAAGAAGTCCAAAAGGTTGTTTGACCCCATCG